ATGTCTACTATTTGTAGAACAAATTTGATGTACAAATAACTTTTTATTGTGACCGTTTACTATTAGCTATTCTTAACCCCGCCATAATACCCTCATCTACTTTATATTTTATTCGTGTAGTCGTTACTCTGATCACGGGTAATTACGGGTAGATCTACCAAAATTAACCAATCAGATAAATGTCTTTCTATGACAGCTAAATTGTATAACGATTAAAAAATGCATTCATTTACCAATGCAACTCGGCCTTTTTCAAGATTCCGTCTTTTATTAAAGTTCCAGCGGCCTTATCTATCTCCGGGAACCTCTCCTTTCACTAGGAGCTCCGTCTTCCGTCTCTCGCCGGGTTTAGGCTTCTCCTTTCGCCAAATACAGCAAGCAACCTTTCCTAATAACCATAGCTCAAAAGAAGAAAATGAATCAAAGGCCAAAATACCGTAAGCAGAATTAGTCTTTAAATAATATATTATTAATTATTTGTCTATGTAGTGTGTCCAGGGTTAGCAACTTTGTGCACTATTGGAATTTCGTTTGATCAGTTCGTTCCATTTGGGATTTTTTAATAATTGCAAATTATTTAGAACAGATAATTTTTATATGTAGGAAAAAAGGTTTATTGTTTCATTCCGCACAAAAAAACATACAATTTGCCAACCCTAGAGGTATCTTATTGCAAATAAGCATACCTTACCTCACTTTATTCAAAACCCTTGAAGTAGTGAAGCGAGTTTATTAATTAAACATATAAATTTCATTTTCTGCCGTGAAATATTTTAAATTATCATGTTCTTTTGTAATGATCTAATTGAATTGTTTAATATGTTATATTAGGTATCAACGATTGCCAGAATGGCTCAAAACGAAAGTTCCCGTTGGCGCTAATTTTACTAGAATAAAAAATGATTTGCGTGGATTAAATCTTCATACTGTAAGTTATTGTTTTTCGTTTATCATTATATTTAACGTTTTTATCTTAGCATTTTTTAACTTAAAAAGGTTTGTGAAGAGGCACGATGTCCAAATATTGGCGATTGCTGGGGTGGAGGTGAACATCAAACAGCCACTGCAACCATTATGCTTATGGGTAGCGAGTGTACAAGGGGTTGCCGGTTTTGTTCAGTAAAAACAAGTAAAACACCAAAACCATTAGATAGTAATGAGCCGGAAAATGTTGCTTTGGCGATTTCGAAGTGGGGATTGGATTATGTTGTACTAACTTCAGTTGATCGAGACGGTACGATAGATATACAATAGTAATCTGCAAAACTTATGCTTATTGTTTTCATGATTTGTTAATATCATTTATTATTCGAACGAAAATCCAGATATTCCAGATGGAGGATCTGAACACTTTGCAAAAACAATTCGATTGCTCAAAAAGAAGTTAGTTACAATGTCATTATAGTGTCTAGTTTTTGGAAAAGTGAAAATCAATATACTTTCAACTTTATAGGGCACCACACATTCTTGTAGAGTGTCTTACAGGAGATTTCCAAGGCGATCTTGATTGTGTGGCCAGAGTTGCACATTCCGGTTTGGACGTTTATGCACACAATATAGAAACAGTCGAGGCATTAACACCATTCGTTCGGGATCATAGGGCTACATTCAGACAAAGTTTAAAGGTATTGGAACATGTTAAGAAAATCAAACCAAGTTTGATTACAAAATCTAGCATAATGCTTGGAGTTGGAGAAAGCGATCAAGAAGTAATGGATGCATTGAAAGGTAATTATAAATTCTGATTATTTTGAAGACATTTTATAGATACGCGTTATTCTAAATACAATTTTATAAATTAGAATTGCGTAAGATTGAAGTTGATTGCGTTACCTTGGGGCAATACATGCGTCCCACTAAAAGGCACATGAAAGTTTATGAATATGTTACACCAGAAAAATTTGAATATTGGAAAAAAATAGGGGATAGCTTAGGCTTTTTATATACAGCCTCAGGACCTTTGGTCAGAAGTAGTTATAAAGCAGGAGAATTTTTTATTAGCAATATTTTACGAAAAAGGCAACAGGAGCTTGGCGCAGAATCCGGTGTTGTTTAATTATCGTGCAAACTCTATGATCATAGATTTTTTCTTGTTATTTTTTTGTACGTTATCACGTTAGCACAACAATTTCGAATTAAAACTCGATTAGCCAACCACGAATTGTAAATCATGATCATAATTGCACGATAACATCAATATTGGATCATGCTATGATAAATATCAAAATTTGTTACGTCGGGGCTGAAACCGTCGCTACGCGGCATATGTCAACTAATCATTTGCTCTGACAGAACAAATTTCATAATATTAATCGTTGCATGACCAATAACTTATAATTATGAAACTATTAAATATTTGATACTAAAATTAAGAAAGCCGTAGGTTAATGCATTTAATGCTATAAAGTTATATTCACTAGTTATTAGGTTAAAAAAGCCAATTTAAAATCAAAATAGTAATTAGAGATAAACCCAATGAAGTTTATACTTGCTAATCATTTAATCGAAGAATGTGAATGTGAGTATTAGATTGTAGTTTACATTTTATCTAAGAATTTTTGTTACAATTAGAAAAATATTAGACTATTATTCTTGATCTAATTTCAATATTATATTTGGACACACTTATTTAAACAAAAGACTAAATATATATATATATATTTTTTTTACTCCAATTTTATTGGGAACTTATTTGCATTGTATTTATTACTACCTTTCAAATCACTGTAAGATGTGACATAGCTACGGTCAGGGTTTAAAATTAATTTAGACACCAATGAAACGTTTCCCTTAGTTAGGGTTGTTAATGGAGTACTCCAGACTATAATAAAACCAGTGTTGGGCTGACCAGACCAGTTTGACCAATTGACCAGACCAATTTGACCATTTTATCAGTCTGATCAAAGAATTTGTATTGGTCAAATTGGTCAAATAGCATCTTTAAATATAATTTATTATATAATATATATATAATATTTATATAATAGACTTGACCAATTTGACCAGTTTGACTATTTGACCAATTTGACCAGACCAATTTAACCAGCAATTTTTTGCTTGACCATTGATTTACCCAACACTAAATAAAACATATAACCCGCTTCTGGAGTGCTTCGGAGTGGGTTATATGTTTTATTATCGTTATTAACTAGAGTTAGAGTGTCCAGGGGTCTGCGGTGGCAGAATCTGCGCAGAATTCTGCTTTTGGCGCAGTTCTCCTGCTCAAGCAGAAAAAGCAGAAATCTGCTTGAGCAGAATCTGCAGAATTTTTCTAATAAATGATTGGTTGACAAATTCGGACATTATCTGTTATATTTAATGTTCAGGGTACTGCGGTGGCAGAATCTGCGCAGAAGTTGTATTGGAGAACATAGTCTATTGTGATAAAATTAGAATTTTTTTAAAGTATTATTTATATGCTGCTGCAGAATTCACAAATAATTGCAGCAGAATTTGTCGTTTAGGGCAGCAGTTCCATGGACACTCTAACTGGAGCACTCCATTAACAACCCTACCCTTAGTACCTTTTGGTATAACTAAAGTTAGACTAGTTTAATTCGGATATGAAACTATACATCATATGGATATTTGTTAGAGAATTTCACGGGCAAGGTGATAACATAAAATAAATGAAAAATTCTGATTAAATTTACAGATTAAATAGATTTTGTATAATAACAACTTGTTGAAAATTTTTTGAATCTAGTAATCAGGATAGTGATTAAGATAGTGAACAGATTCTTTATTACTTTTTATATATGTTTATAATTGTTTGGAACAAAGTGACAGACTCTAATTTCTATGCATTGTGATACAAAAATTACTTTTTTGATGTATTATATATTAAAATATCAAAAAAGTAACTTTGTATTTTCTGTCTGTCCACTTACATGATTTAGGGGATTTTACTAATTTTTTCCCCAAATTTCTATTGGCTAGAATTATTTGCATCAATTTACTTTTTTTTTTTTTTTTTTAACTAGCCTCTTTGGCATAGAGATTTTTATTTAAGTATACTGGGTGGGAAGCTCACAATAAAACCTCAATTACATTAGAGAGTACAACTAGCCACATGTACAATTTTTGGTTGTCTATTTAAGTAGTTTGTATATAGATAACTGTACACTATAGGTTTTACACTAGCTGCTATATTTGTAACCTGACTAGAAGATTACTTATTTAAACTTTCTGTAATATACACATCCTCCTTGTGTCATCAGAACATTTTTATTACATTTGTCAGTCAAGAGCTCCAGATGCTTACCATAGTCTTAGGATTAATTTATTCTTGAGACATCATTGCTAGAGCTTTTTATACCTACAATCCGGTTAATCTAGTCTTTCAGTAACTTATGCCAAGTCTAAAAACAAGTACTTGCGAGCTAAAGCTATTATCATTACCTATTTCTGCTCTTGTAAAGTTCATCTAAACCCTAGCACCCACTTTACAGACTATCTACTATTTCTTCAATTTCTCAAATTTTCAATTCAGATAGTCTGAAAGGGCAGACCTCTTCTCCAGAATATACCAGTGGCTTGGTTGGTATAATGCTTTGCTAAACACCTTGGTTCCATCTAGTTTCCTATTTTTCAGTTGATAATCCTTTATATAGCAATATCAAAAGTTTGTACTATTTTTACTCGGATATGCCAAGTGAGCTTCTATATGTCTCAGCCTTCAGATTTATCAGCTGCTTCACTTGTATTTCATATTACTCATACAATATACTAAATGTTCTACAGCTTTCCAGTACAAGCTGATATGACCAAAACTACAAATTTGATAATCTATTAGATTATATACAGTATAGTTTGCTATAACATATTCTGTAAAATTCGAATTTCATCACCAGTAGATTTGAACTTTTGTCTTGCTGTTTAGAGATGCAACAACTTACTAACTTCACTAAGTCATCTCACCTATGCACCAATTTATATATTATCTTCCTTTTATAATATGATATCTTAGTTGGAGTTAAGTTAGAGTTAGTAAGCAGCATTATACCAAAATTTTGCAAAAAATTTTTTTTGCTAGTATGAAAAAGGTGATTTTTTAAATGAAATTTTGAAATTAATGTGATTTTATAGAAAAGAGTAATTGTTTTTTGAATTTTTACATTAAACCTGATCTTGTTTTCTGATTGGCTAGGATTAAATCATATTATTAATGATCATTGATTTCACTCAATCAAAAATGCAATTTACTAATGATCAATAGAAACTTGTGAGTAAAATTAGTAAACACAATTTAGGAATATACAAAAATTTTAGGCTTATTCTACACCTCTATATATTGTTAATTTATAAAAAAAGAATTTTTTTGAAAATAGAGTTATTTTTTTAAACATTATTGTTTTATTCTATATCCTATATGTCGTTAATCTACAAAAAAAGAGTGGTTTTTTTGGTGCTATATTAAAAATAGGGCTTTTTTAAAGCCCTATTTTTATTATAATTAGTAAAACATTTTTTGAAGATATTTTACAATTCACTATTCCAATTTTAATGATTTAACTATTATTAAATTCATCTTAATAAGCTCTACATCTTTAATTAGAAACTTACAAATGATTAACTTAGTACAAAAAAGTTTAGAACTCTATTTTTATAATATTTATACTGTATTATATAATTAAATAAGTTTCAGACAGTGTAGCAACTTAGTGAAGTTGGTAAGTTGTCGCACCTTCAAGTAGCAGAACAAGAGTTCAAATTTCACTGATGACAAAATTTGAATTTTACAAAATGTGTTATAGCAGACTGTGTATAATCTGATGGATTATCAGATCTATAGCTTTAGTTGTACTAGCTTGTACTAGGAGGCTATAAAATATTTAGTATAATATATGAGTTATACAAAACCTAAATGAAGCAGCTGGGTAAATCTAAAGGCTAGAACATACAGAAGTTTGCTTGGCAAGTCCTAAGTAGAGAGATAGCACAGACTTTTGATAGTGCTACATAAAGGATTATTAACTAAAGAACTAAAAACCAGACAAAACTGAGGTATTTAGTAAGACACTATATTAATTAGGCTGCTAGTGTATTCTAAGGAAGGGTCTGCCCTTTCAGACTATTTGGATTTGAAATTTGGGGACTGGTAAAATGGTAGAAAGTCTGTAAAGTAGATACTGGGGTTTGGGTAAACTTTACAAAGGCAGAAGTAGATAATAGTAGCAGCTTCAGCTTGCAAGTACTCATTCTTAGATTTGGCATAAGTTACCAAAGTTTAGGTTAGCCAAATTGTGAATATAGAAAGCTCTAGCAATGATGCCTTGAGGATAAAGTAGTTCTAAGGCTACGGCAAGCATCTGGTACTGTACTTCTCGACTAACAAATATAGCAGATATGTCTCAGTGATAACAAATGAGGATTTGGTTATATTACAGAGTGTTTAAATAAGTAATCACCTAGTTGGATTATAGGTATAGCAGCTAGTGTAGAACCTATGGTGTATAGTTATCTATACGCGAACTACTTAAATAGATGACCAAAAGTTGCATATGTAGCTAGTTGTACTCTCTAATATAATTTGAAGTTCTGTTATGAGCCTCCCACCCCAATATATTTGAATAAAAACTCTTATACCAAAGAGGCTAGTTAATAAAAAAAAAATAAATAAATAAATTTCAGACAAACAATGTATTGCATTTATCTAGTAGTAGTAAAGAATGGTTTGCATATTTTAGATTAGGGGATAGAATAGGTTAGACTAAACCAGAAATTTGTAAGTTGAACCAGGCTTGGGCTTAGTTCAGACCTATATTTTTGAGCCTATTATTATTTGAATTAGGCTTGGACCAGGCTTACTAAAATATTAGACTAGATTTGAGCTCAATAAAAAAGTTTATACAGTCCAATGATATCTAATAACTTTCTACCAAATATTACTTTAAATAAAGACAGCTAACAACTAATATAAAGTCTAATATTAATAAGTTTCTGATTAGTAAATATCACAGATTAAAATAAAATCTGATCAAAATAAAACTAAAGACCTCTCATGTCCATTCTTAGAGCCTATAAAATCTACATATACTCATTTATTAATAAACCTAACCCTAAACTCTACCTCTAATAATAAAAAGAACTCCAAAAAATGTCTCTAAAAATTTTTAAATTTTCTTTAAAAAACAGAAAAATTTTGTTTTAATCAGATTTCATTTTAATCTGTGATAGTAAATAACCTAAGCATCAAATTAGAGTTTTGTGACATAATTTAAAGCTCTAATCCAAAAACTCTAATTCTGAAACCAAATCTTTTTATATTTTGATTATAGCTTTTTATCATTAAAGTCTGGATTAGAGGTGTCTTAAGTAGTGTTAGTATGTTTTGTTTAATAATGTATAAATTCTGATTTTTTCAATTTCATATGCATGATATGTAT